TAAATACACGGCTCATCTGCACTGTACAGGGGGGGCCGAGCTGTGGGGCTGCCCCTCGGGCTGCCAGGAGGAGGAGGAGGAGGCAGAGCTGGCTCAGATCTCGGTGGCGATGATGTCCTCGTAGGGGACGTCGGCGCCGGGGATGTCCAGCTCGATGGGCTCCTTCCCGTCTTCCCCCGCGGCGAGCTGCTGGAGCATCTTCTCCAGGTTCTGGTTCCTCTTGTACATGTGCAGGTAACTCTGCTGCAGCTGCTTCTGGTAGTGGATCACCTTCTCCTTCTCCTCCTTCCACGTCTGCCGCTCGTGCTGGAAGCTGGAGGTCATCTGCTCGTTGTTGTCCCGCTCGGCCTTCAGCTCTGCCCTCAGCCTCTCCACCTCTCCCTGCAGGGCCTGGGCATCACCCCCCATGGCACAGGGCCTGCCCACCTCCCGGGCCTCGCTCAGCTGCTCCTTGAGGACGGCCAGCTCCGTGCGCAGCTCCACGATCTCCTGCTCCAGCAGGTTCACCTTCTCCCGCAGCAGCTCGGACTCGTTCTTCTTGCGCTGGAGCTCGTTCTCACACACCTCCAGCTCCATGGCCTTGGTGCGCAGGGAGCCCTCCAGGTCCTGGGTCTTCATCTCCAGCCCTTCCATCTTCAGCCTCACCTCCTTCAGCTGGGCCTTCAGGCTGAGGATCTCGGTGGTCTTGGTGTTGAGCTCTGTCTGGGACTCCTTCAGCTGCTGCTTCAGGAGGGAGATCTCCCCTGACTTCTGGCAGACCTGTGGGAGGGATCCAGCACCCGAGTTAGGGTTGTGCCTTCAGAGAAAGCTCACAGCACCCACAGTACCTGTGCAGGCCATGCTGGGCACAGCTGGGGTCTGGCACGTGGTGCCCCGGCCATGAAATCCCACCTAGGGAGAAGACCCAGCACAGGGAGCAATGCCCCCAGCTCTCAGGAGGACTGGAGGGGACCCCAGGCTCTCCAAGCACCAACACCCCAGCTGACTTGGAGGGCTGGGGTGTGATGATTTAAGGAGCTGACACCCCTCAGCTGAAGTGTGGAAGTGGAGGATGTTGAGGAAGTGCTCAGGTCTCAGTGACCTCCCCTGTGAGGACAGGCTGAGGGAGCTGGGGTTGCTCAGCCTGGAGAGAAGGCTCCAGGGAGACCTCAGTGCAGCCTTTCAGTGCTTAAAGGGGGACTATTAGAGAGCTGGGGACAGACACTTCAGCAGGTTCTGTTGGAACAGGACAAGGAGGGATGCTCTGAAACTACAAGAGGGGGATCTAGACTAGAGAGAAGGAAGGAATATTGGACACTGAGGGTGGGGAGCCCCTGTTGGAGGTTGCCCAGAGAGGTGGTTGCTGCCCCATCCCTGGAACCATTCCAGGGGAGGTTGGACCAAGCTCTGAGCACCCTGCTCTAGCTGCAGATGTCCCTGCTCCCTGCAGGGGGGTGATGAGATGATCTGGAAAGGTCCCTTCCAACCTAAACCCTCTATGATTCAACACCCCATCCAAAACCTGCCAAAACCACCACTACAGCTCTCGTGGTCAGTAAAACTGGCTGAGCCTGTTTCACCAGTGGACACCCAACTGCACCCCAGAAAACTGCAGCTGGGTGCAAAGTGTCTGAATCCCACTGGAGCCTGAAGTGTGGCTGGGACAGGGACAAGGCTGGGTGTCCAGCAGCCAGCTGAGCTGGGTGGGACCCTGCAGCCACAGACTTGGTAGGGCTTGTGGGCAGCCTGGAAAGGTGGCTCAAAAATGCAAAAGTGGGATGAGGAATGTGTGAAGGTGGACGCTGGGCTCCCTGAGCACACCAGGCACGTTGCTCGTGGTGCAGCCACAGGGGAAGATACTGGTGGGTGGTTTTTGGGCAGGTGAGCAGGCTTGCTTCTGAATCTTCAGTTGAAGTGTCTCTGTTCAGTGATACCCAGTGAGGAAATGAAGCAGTGAGGGGAAGGTTTCACTGCTCTCTAATAAATGACCGTGGCTCTGAGTTCCTGTGTCTGTGTGGGCAACAGCCTGAAAAACCCTGTGCTGGAGGTTGGGAAGGTGGAGTCGTTTTAATGCCTGGGGTTTTATGAAGTAGTTTCCTTACATGTGAAGTGCTGAGGGTTTAAGAGGGGCAGTGAGTCAGTCAGAACTTGCAGAGCCTCCACGTGACAGCCCAGGGATCTCCTCGGTGTTAATATCTCTCTCCTACAGCCTGGGTTAGCGTGTGCACCATCTGCCCTGCTCTGACCCCTTCTGCTGGGGCTGGATGCAGGTGTAGAAAGGAGAAGGACTGTGGGTGCTGGAGCTGTTGCCTTCCACACACACGTGTCTGCTGTTGGCACTGGCAGCCCGAGAGATCTCTTGGTGCTCCAGTGCCACTTACCTCCCACTGGGTCTCCTCCAGCGCAGGGGCAAAGCTGGTCTTCTCCTTCTCGTAGGACCTCAGCTTGGTCTCCAGCAGGTTTTGCTCTTTCATGAGGTTCTCCAGCTCCTCCCGGAGCTGCTTCTTCTCCTGCTGCAGCTGGAACACCTGGAGGTGAAGGACCTGCTGTGTCCTCTGGGTTTTCTGGGAGGTTTGCTTGAGCTTGCTGTTGCATTTCTGCTTGAGGCCCTCCAGCTCCTCCTTGCAGCGCCGCTGCTTCTCCTCGTAAGCCTGGCAGGAGCTGATTTCCTTCTCCTCAAAGCTCGACTGAAGCTCCTGCAGCTCTCCCTCCCTCTCTAGCAGCTTCTGCTCCAGCTCCTGGATGGTGGACTCATCTGTGGAGATGGGTGAACGGATGCAAGTGGTCTTCTCGGCGGCGTGGTGGTGGGGGGCTTTGCCAGGGTTGAGTATCTTGTTGCCCCCGTCGGAGAAGGACATGGCCTTGAGGCTCATCATGTTGCTGTCCTGGATGATGGCACACTGCAAGATGTTGTGGGCAGAGCCCCCGAAGCGGCTGATGGGTCCCATGGGGGTGACGAGGGGGTCGAGCTGGTAGCTGCTGCTGGTGCTGTGGGTGGGGAGGCTGGACATGGAATTCCTGCCGGAGTCGGAGAGCCCCCCCGAGCACGGCGCCGGCCTCAGCTCCTGCTCCTTGGCTTTGTCCAGGGGGTGCAGCTGCTGGGCGAGGTGCCCCCCGCTCTCGGGGGAGGAGTGGAGGATGGCTCCCGAGCGGGGCAGCACCGGCTTGAAGGCGGTGGGTCGTGTGGCTGGCTTGTCCACGCCCTGGGGAGAGGAGCAGAGCCCGTCAGCACCGGCCAGTGCCACGACGAGGGTCCTCCCCTTCCCTTCCCACCCCCAAAGATGAGACCCCTGTGGCGGGGATGGATCAGGTCTCTATCAGGGCCAAAAGCTGATGGCTGAAACAGCCTCTGG